CCATCCCCCCAATTCTCCAATAAAAATCTTTTTTTAAAAAAAGTTTGTTTTAACATCAAGTATGGGGCTGGCCGAGTGGCACGTTGGTTGGGAGTTGGCTTGGGATGCACTCGTGGCAGCCACCTTGGTTCACAGTATAACCACTTCCAGGTGCTTTCAAGCCCAACACAGGCAGTGGCTGATCTTGGCCTGCACCAGAGCCCCTCTCTAAAGGCCCCAGAACCAACACACCTAATGACTGGCTTCAGACCACACCAGAGCACTACCCAATTAGTCCCACAGATGACACACCAAAAGGGTGGACTTAGCAGGCATGAGAGCCCCACTTAAGTGAGTTTTGTTCCTTGGAGTTACCCTTGCATAACAGCTTGTCTGCTGCAGTCATAGCCACTCCTCACAGCCAGTCAGCATGAGGGTCAATCCTGAACCCACTGATGTGCCAAAAGCAACCAAGGCTCAACTACAATAGGAGGGGTACTCACAACCCATACAAGAGACACCCCTGGAGCACCCAGCTCAGGAGAACAGGGAGACTGTGCCACTGGGCCCCACAGGACACCGACTACATAAGGCCACTCTGCCAAGACTGTGAGACACAGCAGCTCTACCTAATACATAGAAACAAACACAGAGATGCAGCCAAAATGGGGAGACAAAAGAACATGTCCCAAATGAAAAAACAGGACAAAACTCCAGAAAAAGAACTAAACAAAATGAAAGCAAGCAATCTACCAGATGTAGAATTCAAAACATTGGTTATAATGATGCTCAATGATCTCAGTGAGAACTTCAACGAAGAGATATGAAACGTAAAAAAGGGGATAGAAAACAGAAAAAAGAACCAGTCAGAAATGAAGAATACGATAACTAAAATTAAGGATACATTAGATGGAATAAACAGCAGATTAGATAAAGCAGAGAATCAGATCAGCAATTTGGAAGACAAGGTAGCAGAAAACACCCAATCAGAACAGGAAAAAAATAAAAGAATTAAAAAAAATGAGGATAGTTTAAGGGATCTGTGGGACATCAAGCATAACAATATTCTCATCATAGAGGTACCAGAAGGGCAAGGAATTGAAAACATATTTAAAGAAATAATGACTGAAAACTTCTCCAGCTTGGCAAAGGAAATAGACATAAGCCCAGGAAGCACAGTGAGTGCCAAACAAGATGAACCCAAAGAGGCCCACACCAAGACATCATATTTAAAATGCCACATGTTAAAAACATCTTAAATGCAACAAGAGAAAAGCAGTTAATCATCTACAAGGGAACTCCCAAAAGGCTGTCAGCTGGGCCGGCCTAGTGGCGCGATGGTTAGGAGCTGGCTTGGGACGCCAGAGGACCCCGGTTTGGATCCCACATATGAGGGCCAGTGACACTGCCCTCTACAGCTAAGATGCTGAACAACAGCTCAACCTGGAGCTGGGCTGCCGNACAATGCGGGCGCCGGCCCGCGGCGGTCACGCGCTTCTCGCGGCCCCCGCGCCGAGGAAGGGCCCCCGGGCCGCCGCAGCCGGCGCTCCCCCCACGGCCAGAGCCTCCGGCTTTGGAGACCCGCGTCGCCCTTAGCGACCGAACTAGCC